AGGCTACAAAGTTTGAATTTTTTCATCCTGCAGATTAGATTCCTTTTGAGCTCCTGGACTTCTCATTAGTGCCTCCAGATATCTAACAGGTGATTATTACAGAATATAGAGCTAGTCTCTTTGCAGTGGTGCACAGTGACAGGACAAAAAAACAACTGAAACTGCAATAAAGGATATTCCAATTAGATGTTTTGAAACAATTTTTCACCGAAGTAGTCAAACACCAGAATGTGTGGTCCAGAAAAACTATGGAATTTTCCATCCTTGGATATCTTGAAGACTTGACTGGACAAGGCCGTGAACAACCTGATCTAACTCAGAAGTTCAGTGTATTTAACTTGGCCCTGCTTTGAGTGAGGGGTGTCAGACCAGATAACCAGAGTCTCTTCCAACTCAAGTTATTCTAAGACACTAATGTATGGAAGAATACTGTTCTAAACCCCTTCTTGAAAAACTGGATTCTGAAGATCATGTTAAACATTAGCAGTTCTTCAGAAAATAAATTTAGGTTGGCAATATTAGGTTAACCACCAATCCCTTGTTTGTGAATCTTAGAGATGTAAAGACTCCTTCAGATTAAGAAAAAAAAATAGAACTAAAGCCGTAAGATTAAAACCTTTTTTATTTCCTTAGGAAATAAAAAGGAGTTGAGGGTGTCCTTAAATTCTAAGCCAAAGAGATCCTTACAAGTAGATCTCATGAAACCTATTGTTAGCATTACAGCTGTAAGCTTTATTGCTTAGAACTACTGTATCTCCCTCCTACTGACATACTTTTTCCATCAATATTGTTCTATTGTTGCCTGTGCCCAGAAGCACAGGGTTACCCTTTGCCTAAGGCACTCCAGATACATCCTCTTTTATCCATTATCTATTTTTCTTTCTCCAGGGAAAAGCTAGTGATTTCCAAGAGGGAATTGTTCAACACATGTTAGGTAACCAACAGAGCAACAGAACCATTAAAGTATCAGAATATCCTCCCATGTCCGCAGAGAGCCTCTGTAGGTCAGCCTCCTGGAAACTGCCAACCCTATTTTTATCCAACCTATCACTACCCAAAGACATGTCAAATGCCTTGTGCTACGTGCTTTGCTTACACACGCCTGTGAAAATTGTTTCAGAGACTGCTCAGTAGCTTCTCATGAATTCTGAGGAATTTCATTAGTTGTGGGTGCAAAAGGGAGAGCAACTGAATTTCCACACAGCTGTTCCCATTACTGAGCAATCCAAAGATCACAGAACAGTATGTCAGTAGAAAAGGAAAGCAGATGTTAAAATGCATGTATTGACACATTTAGAATTCCTACTGTCAAAAAAATGCAATGCTTGTTCTATTCAAGAGATCTGCTGATCCCATTAGAGAAAGTATGTGTTTAAGGACTAAAAATAAATTTATGACATAATGCTGCCACAGGAAGTACCCTATACTCTGAACTCGGGTTACATGACTACAGCTTTCAGTCTGCTTACTTTCAAGCATATATTTTGCAGGTGTCTGAGCTAGGCTCTCCCTTAAAGCAATACTACCCAAAAAACAAACAAAAAATTAAATCCAAATTTAAATGAAAATTCTAAAATATTTTGGGCAAAGACAATTTAGCGCAAGGAAATACCATCTCTTGGACAGCAAAGCTATCTTGAACAGGCTTTAAGAATCAGAATTATCTATAAAGGATCTAATCAGATTTCCACAACACACTCAAAGAGATCATGGCCAATACCAAAGATTTATGAACCAGAGACTAGTGGAAGTATCCGACAGGAATACAAGACATTGTTTTTTTTCCCCACTCTTTCTTTTTTCTTGTCCCTGAGGAACAAGTCTTATTGAATAACCTTATTACTGAAAGATACTGCTAGTCCTAATGCATCAAAAACCAAGAATTACATATGACCCACTGGATCCCAATAAAGAGATCTTTGAACAGACACCCTGTTTCCATATCACAAGCATGAAAGCATAACCTCCGTTTTCAGCAGACATTAAGTCATTATCAGACAGTCTAAATTAGTTTACTCTGAATGAAAAGATTGAACTCACAGATTTTTACAAATAGCTGTAAGCTTTCCTGTGCTTATGCATAGCATCTCTTCAGTATACATGCCTTGTGACAGTCCAAAGTGCTACTTCAGGTTTGTATGTGCCATCTTGATGCAACAAGGTGGGAAGGAGCATAAACTTGTCAATACATTGTAAAATTAGCAAAATAAGCTCATATAGTAGGAGTAAGAAACAAAAACAAACATTATATCAAGTCAGAACATACACTGATTTCCTCCAAGGCTTTATACACCATAAGTGTTCTCTGACACATATGATGTGTGACAGAGATGAAAGACCAAGTGCCAGAAGAGATTCATGTATATCCTTAATACAGTGACCCTCCCCAGGCTTGCCATTTACAAAGATAGGACTAGACTAGTTTCACCCTCTACCTTCATAATGACAACACAAGATCACAATTTCTACTGAGATCAAGTCCTTGTGAGCATAAGGAGCAGGAAAACAGAAGAGTCAGAAAAATGGGGATTCATGCACTGACAAAACATCCCCTATCACTGCAACTAGCCGATTACTTATCATCTAATTTACACTGGCTATAACACCACAAGCTCAGGCAGTTTTGGGGGCTTTTTTGCTTGTTGGTTCCCCCTTTAACAAATCAACAAAACAGATAGTAATGGTGAATCCAAAGCAACTATCATGGGAAACTGATCATGATGTTTTCTTCAAACTATAAGGCACAAAATAGGAACCTGAAACAGTTAAAGAAAAAGATGTTCTTATAGGCAAACAACTTTTACAACTAGAGAGACTGCAGATCTTCTATGTAGTTTAAGAAGTTAGAGGAAAATAAACAAATGCTTAAGTTAGTAAAAGCTAAAACAAAAGCTCAAAAGTAAGAAGTGCACTGTTAGGCAAAATATTGCTGGTAGAGATTATAAGTATTAAGCCTTCAGGAACCTTTAAAGGAAGGCTGAAGTCAATCATTAACAGAAAAACACATGCATTTGGATTTCATGGCAAACTGAGCTTGACCTTTGCCACTTAATAAAGTCTGAAAATGCTGTGGTAGGAAGAATAAACAAGGAACAAATCGATAAGAAATGGCTGTAACCACTTCGTTTTCCTTTTAGAAGTCATACAAGAATGCTTTCTGCTGACTGCCTGAGACAGTTTTCAAAGCACAATGTAATCGCATTTTTAACTAATGGCCTAATTCAAAAAATTGAATTCCAGAACTGATTTCCAGGCACATTTTTATCTTTCCTTCCCTCCCCCCAAATTAGCATTGGTTTCTTTATTCATTTTTTTTTAAATAACAAACAGTTGAACACCAAGGATCATGTTCTCTTTTGATTTAGGATCAGTAACATTCTGCGTAAGAGAGTATTTGCTATTAACTTCAAAGATGACAGCCTGATTTGCCAGAAAGGTTTAATCCTCACTGCTCTCACAACCAACAGTTACACGCATATTCCAAACGTATCTGCAACCAAACACGTCATGCAATGGTCTCGTGTTTTAGAGCTATAGCATAGATCAGACCTCAAGACCCAAACTCCTAAGTTCTTAATGGAGCTACTAGTCTTCTTCCTTTCCCACACCTCAAATGCATTGGGGCAAGACCTGCAAATCAAGGTTGCCTTTTAAATGGCACAAGCATACATTTCACTTCTATAGCATCAGAAGTCCTTGTGAGACCATGAAGAAGATAAAAACAGACAAGATAAAGAAATCTGACTTCACAAGTACGTTTGGTACACTATTTGAAGTTCAGGAGCATAGTTTGCCATCAAGCAGCTCACAAACTAGCCCTAACTTTTCACATGCAAAGATCCTTCTGAATCCATCAGAATTGGCTAAGAGACCCCATCACATCTCACTTTGTGAGCATCCTCAGGACAGATTGTAACAGCATGTATTCTCTGGTTATGTCAGCATATATTCCCCTTATGTTCTGTACGTCCCTAGACAATAAGCAAACTTAATTTAGGTCTTAAATCCATATCTTGAAGGCTCAAACTGTTACCTAAAAGATCTCCTAATGTTACAAACCACCATTCCCCACTATCCACCTCAAAATAGTCATTAAGAGCATCACATTTAGGACTTTATAGGCAAACAAGTCCCCATTTTCAGCAAGGGACAGACTATTTACCATAAAGAAAAAAGTACACTAACCAAACCCAAAATATTATCACACAGAGCAAATAAAACAGGAGAACAAGTGATTTTAGGACAAATCATTTAGATGCTGTAACAGGTAAATATTTTTCAAGGTGAGATCTGATTGTTGAACTAGCATCTGCTTCAGATGGGAAGAATCTGCATTTATATAGAAACAAGTATCTATTTTGAAACCGGATATTTCAATCCAAAAAAACCAGACAAGTGTTCAGAGGCATGTGCCTGCATTTAGTATTACAAGTACAAACATTGAACTACACAGCAAAACCCTGTCTTTGCAATTGTAACATTATTTTGTGCTACAAGTTCTGTGGAAAGCTACATTTGACTCTGAAAGGAGCAATCTTAAGGTAAAGTGAGGTGACAAATAAGAAGTTCAGTATGGCTACCTTTCATAAAGAATGCTTACTTTTTTCTTTTTCAATATTTACATATAAATTTATCAGCCTCATCACAAATACATTGCCAAATGGAAATACAAGTCCAAAACTGGACTATTTTTAAGTGACACTAAGAATTAAATGTTGTTTTCACAGGCTGAGGAAAAAAGGGGATTTACACGTCACATTTTCTTTCACCCATATCTCCCATTCTCTTCCTTTCAAATACTGAAAACTTAGTAAAATAACAGGGGTACCATAAGTTTTTGCACAGCAAACAAATGGATTAAAGCATTGTCCCTTTCAGAGGATTAATAGGAAGAGGGACTCATTTGCATGGAAGGGTTGATAAGAGCAAATACAAGAAAAAGCACATACGACAGGGTAATCTCTATGTCAGCATGTGCCCTTTATATCAGTTACACGCACGTGACAGCTTATGTACTCTGTAACCCTTGTAACCAAGTGAATCAGCCACTAACTCTTGACCTTGTTCTTCTACCTCATCTCCATCCAAAATTTTCAAGTCTGCCAACATCACTTACTGGGACAATAGACTATTTCTCATTAATTTAGTGCCCAACTACTCAGGCAGTTATCTATCTGATTTCCAGCAATCCAAATTCCCAGGTTGCCATACATCTAGAAAACCTGACAAATTGCTACTTTGTACACACAAAGTAATTTTATCTTAGATATACAGCTGATAAACCCTCATGAATGTGACTTGCTGCATATGTAGTATTTCACATATGCAACTGCGATATATGTCCCATATCTGTCAGACTGATTTGAACTACAGCTTGCTGAAGTACTTCTTAGCAGATTTGGAGTTCACATCTGTCCTATCTAGTCTAATATCCAGTTAGCAAAAAATCAAAAGCAAGAGGTTATAGATATTTTTATTTACTCATAATACCAACAGGACTTTGACTAGAGTCTCTAGGCACTGCAAATACTTACCACTGGTAACAGTTATAATTTAGATGATATTTACAGTCAGTAAAGTACAAAACAAATTTTTAAACTTCCTGTTGAGCTCTTGGATCACAGGCCCCCATCTCCCAACCATTAAAATGTTTTTTTCTTAGGAAACACTACTGAGTCAAACATGAAAGCAAACACTTCTTCAAAATTATTTTAAAGGAGCATGATGTTTATTTTAAGTTCATATTCTACAGCTAAGTAGTTAAATTTTACTGATTTTATCCAAAAAAACACCAATTTAAACTCAGCTCTTCATAGCCATTTTCACACAACTTCCATATTTCACACTCAGCACCAGGTACCTCCACAGCAAAATACAGCAATTTCATTTTAAAATACAAATAAATGGGCAAGTAATTGAGCTACTTGAGCATTGTTTTATAATTTTAAAACTACAATATTTCCTTTGAGCTAAAATTTTATGTACTTGAGATAGGGCACAAATTTTATTCTGCAACATTTGTCACACACTTAGGTACTCTTTAGCATTACAGGTGGTCTCCTTTATCATACTGTATTACTCTGCAAAAATTATTTTGTTATGCTTAAGACATCCAATCAGTGCCCAAAATACTGAGTATACTTCTAAAGAGAATACTCCTTTAAGTTTTTTCAAGTTTTATATAGGTAAAATCTAGTCAAAAAAATAAAGGAGTAGTAAAGCATATATATCATATATAGAAAATAAAAAGTATCTATGAACAATGATATCTGGAATAAATTTGTTGTTTAACTGAAGAAACACATCTTTCTATTCCAATAATATTCCTACTACATTTCTTATTCTTTTACTTTGGATCTGCCTATTAGTGATCCTTTACCAAAACTATGATACCTGCTCCCAAAAAAACAAACATCAAAGTTTAGTTAGCAGATACAACTTTCTGAAGATTCTTTTAAAGGAAGAAAAGTTTTGCTTGATAAAGATCCCACTATCTTAAAAACAAATTCAGTGGTTTTACTGAATATTTTGCCATATTCTGAAAAATATCAGAAGTCCAAAGCTCCTATTTATAAAATAAGTACATACAACAGCACAAAACTCTGAGCCAATCGTACTGCTGGTTCATTTCCTCCCCTGTTTTTCACCAATGCCTTTAGCTCTTCAAGCTCCTGGGTGGCTGTATTAAAAAGACTCTTTGTACCTACCATGAGCAAACAGACACAAGCACACACTGTCTAGTATAAATTTTTACTCTGAAGTCCCAGATAAAAACATTGTTGATTACTTCCTTAAAGTATGAAAGTCATCTTCTTTTAAGAGAAACTGTAAAATTTAGTCAAGAAAACTGCTGAATCAGTCATCTCCTTCAAATATCTGATGAGGGTTGGAAGACCTTAGGGAGTTTCAATGCCTTACTCCTTAATCGTTCACTAGAGAATCTTTATCTCTATGTTTATTGAAAAGAAGCCTAAATCCACTACTCTGCCTAGCAATTGCAATAGTCTTGCTTAAGCTGTGCAAACCCTTAACTTTCCTGCAGTGACTCAGCCTTTTTGTTGCATCAATGGCAAGAACTGGTGTATATAATTGGTAGAGAGATTTTTCTCCCGGTTATATTGTGTAATAGCACATTATAGAATAGCATAACAGTTGTTATCAAAGAAAAGCACTCAAGTCTTTCTGCTGAAGGATCAATTTCCACCCATGAACATTGCACTAATTTCTTAGAAGAGTCTGAGCATTTTAAATGCGGGGGTTTTTTATCAGCTTGCAATCTAAGCACCAAATAGCTTGGCTACTAGCATTTCTACAACCATGTTTACTTTAATGCTATTCCCAAAACAGTAACCCCACTAGATCGATTAAGGAATTACACCAACAATTTGCATTCTTCGCAATCAGATCTTAACTCCAAATGAATAAGTTGGCTATTATTCCCTATTTCTAATTTTAAGGGGAAGGAAGGGAAGGACTAAAAATAATATTAAACCTAACAAAAATGCTATTACATCATAAACAATAACTGTCACTAGATAACATGTGAATAATAATGATAACACTATTATTAATAAAAATAATAATGTGCTTATAATCCCTATCCACACTTCACAGAAACCAGCCATATTACATAGACAGGGATTTTCAGTCTTCTAGAATATAACAAAGCAAGCTTCTAGCTCTTATAATGATTTAAGAAGCTTAAGACATAAGTCTACTTCCACTGACAAAAAAAATTACAGCTTCTGAGAGGAAAAAAATGCAGAAAAAGCATTTTCTTCTCTCAGAAGAAAAACAAGGAAAATTGCTGTTACATGTATTACACACAAGATCCTGAACAAAGTCTTTGAGTTCTGTTGCTCATGTAGTAAACTCTGTTGAGCTTGGTCAAAGGCCTGCTGCAGGCATCACTACTGACCTTAACAGGTATCAGACTGTGTCTTCCATCAAGCTCCATTTGCACAGCGTTAGGTTATACAATAAAACATCATCTGCACACCCACAATGGGGCACAGAGAGGCAATGGCAGGAGGGGGAGCCCAAATAATATCCTGCCCTGGCTCCTCCTAGGCCCACAGCAGGCACCAGCAGCCCTGATATCACCAGCCCGTCTCTATATGCCCAGAGGAGCACAGGGGCAGACGCAGGTGGGAACCCAAGCTGCAGGCTCAGAGGAGGAGACACCCCGTCCAGTCCTCCCTGGACTGTCCCAGGAGAGCCTCAGCCCCCGTGTCCAGGTGTGACACCCATCAGGATGGGTCAATGCCAGGGCACCTTTGCGACGGAGGGGGATTACTGCCTTGGGCATAGGACACAGTGGGGTGTGCTGGGGAAAAGGATTTCAGGATTGCACAGAACTTATTACGGGACATTTAGGGGAGGAACCAGAGAGGGATTTAGGGAGGAACAAGTGTGGGAAAATAAGAGGGATAAGAGGATAAACAGGACTGGTCCATGTAAACAGTTTGCTGGTCAGTACAGTTGTCTGGCCATGCTCTGCACCTGATCAGCACAGCCTGCCCTGCCTTCTTGCTAAATTCCTTTCTAACCTTTTCCCAGGCAAGGGACTTGCCATCTGTGTGCATATCTGAGTGACTGAGCCCAGCACCTGAAGGGATCCACACTGCAGACGTATACATATATTATAGATACAGATACATATACACACACATAGATTCTCACTAGCAGACCTCCATTCTGTTCAGCCAGAGGGGAGCAGGATGAGGCCACTAGTGCTGTGTTCATGTGAGTGTCTGTCAGTTCATCTGTGTGGCTAGCCATGTATATATGTGTATGTGGTATACATGTGCACTCTGTGTGAGTGTGCCTACCAGAAACACATTTTCAGCCTCACTGCTGGTTACACCAGGGACACAAAGCTGCAGCAGCCTCACTTCTCTCAGGCTGTCAGATCTGGCCTGATTGTTTTCCCAAACACTTAAGAACTAAAAGAAAAAAAAAACCACACACACAGAAAAGCTATAGTCCTATTTAAAATACACTAGTCCTTCCCTTCTGGTCCAAGCTTGTGTTTTCAGGAAGTTGCACTTGTTATATACAAGAACAATTACTTCTGTCAGTTAAATTCACAAGTAGCTTTTATATTGATAAAAGAGTACTTACTGGTATTACTCTAACATAAAGAAAACCTCTGGGAAGCTCTGCACTTTCTCCCAAGGACTCTCAATGTAAGAAGAGTTGCTAGGACAGGACACTCTCCTTGCAGCAGCTGGAATACAAATTAGTGAACTTAGCAGCTGCTCTAAACTACACCAGCCAAAGCATCCAAGAAGAAACAGGATAGCAAAGTCCAAATATCTTTATGGAATAAATAAGAGACTTCCATGTATTAATTCCTAATCAGAAATACGAAAATTTGGTGCACATAACTTCACCTTGATGGCATAACATGGTGTAAACCAGCATTAGGCAAAAGTTACTGGGAAAATTCTCTCAAAAAAGATACTAGCAGGTGCAGTCAAAAAGCAAAATAAAAACACATGAATTAATAGTATGCCTGCCTGTGAGTACAGTTTGGAAGAACCTTCAAGTAAGACTGCAAATAAAAATTTCAGTCCAATAGACTGCACAAATAATTAGCTATTGGGAGTGTGGACAGCAAAAGAATAGTATATTTTTCAATTATTCTGAAATTATTAAAAACTAAAGCATAGCGTGAGCGTTCCTTTAGCTGAAGTGCTTCAAAGAAAAACTGTTAACAGTCAGCATCACCTAGCTAGCCCAAAGAAAACAAAGAATCAACAACGCCTGCTTGCTTTCAATTCACCCTGTAGACTGGAATGCAGAAAGCTCTCTTGCTTGTGCTTTATTTAGTAAAAAGTACTGGGTGCCAAAGAAGGAAGAAAGCAGCAGTAACGTGAGGAGCCCTTGGCAGTTCAAACCTGGTAACAGCTATCCCACCAGTCCTCTAGGAATCCATCTCCAGAAGAAGGTGGATGCTCTTCAGAGAGTTTCTTTGAGGAAAACAAGAGAAAGTTTACTGTGCAAGGAATGCATACTCAGCCCATGAGAGGAAATGGATCAGGAGCCTAAGACACAGAGAAATTGCGAAGTATTGAGCAGGTTAATAGGATCTGAGGATGGGTAAA